GTAGAAAATTGCGAAATGGACATGCTCGGCGTCAGCCCTTCCGCAGCTGCGTCCACTCATAATGATCTCCCAAAATGTAGGTTTACTGACTGCGATAACGAATATACGGCCGCATGAATTAGCATCCCAGCTGGAGAGAGAACGCACGAAAAAGAAAGTTTAAAGAGTACATATTCTACTAAATCGCTGTGCCAACTAGATGAATACACCGTTGTATCTGCCCCATCTTTGAGCTTGCCTGAAAAGCCACCCAAACTAATGAGTGAAATGTCGGCCATTTCTCCTCCGATTTCGACGAATACTGGTTTGCTTTACCAAATTGTTATCCTTCAAATGAACAAAGCGACCGAAAACCCATTCCGCTCTTCACATAGCCGAAAAGGCACCTTTGACAGTTTCGCAGGCATCAGAGCACAATTTTGCATCTAACATAATTGAGGCTCAGAAACGAAGGGAGCATGATGAAAGCAAATCTCTCATTATTACCATGTCGCAATGATATCTTGAGACAAAGTGGTCTAGCATAGTAGTGGGGCCATGACATTTCACAGAGCAGGCCTCACAGTAATTCTAAAAGTACCAGTTAGATACCGTTTTTTCAGGAATCTCGGACTCACAGTCAGCATCTTTTCACCGTATAGTGTAATCAGCTTTTTTCGGTCAACTTTTCCTGCAAGAGTGCGAAGTTCTGTCATTTTGTCATCAAATTCCTGATCTGAAAGAGACGCACAAATGAGCTTCTCTGAAGGCTACAATCATTACCTGTGAGGATCCTTGATGGGAAAGCGCTTCGTTCCATGAACTTAACAAGGCTAGCAGATAGCTTAGCTGTTTCCTTTCCAGGCGCAGATGTCGTCACTGTGTCATTGGTAAGCGCAGCAGTCTTTGTTAATTTTTCGTTAGTAGAAGTTTGAAAGGCGCTATTATAGAATACCATCACCTAAAGAAATACCCGCAGATACCGTTTTTTTGGAAGGGGGGAGGTATGTTGTACGTATGTATTTTACAAAGAGTGCTTCAAAGAACTCGACAGCGTGAGATTTGATGCATTAGGAAGACAAGAAAAGTGAACTTGCTTCAGAAAAGAAACGCGCTTTACCGTTAAACCTCATCCGAGAATAAAGGATTTGTAGGGAATACGGTAGGCATAGCAACGAATTTTAGCCCCTTAATTTTGAACCAAAACCCGGATGACTCCCTTCACCTAAGGGGGAAAGTGATTCACGAGTGAATCACGATCAAAAAGTTATTGCAGACACAACATCTCCGCCGTCAAATATAACAACCACACATTCCTCTTGAAAAACAGTATTTTCATAGATCACAATAGAAACCACAATAGTGTTATATTTTTCGCACCCTTCCGAAGGCGTCTTTATATACTGTAGAATAAGAATAAACTAAACTTAAGAAGAAAAATCAACTAAACTTAAGAAAAAATGTCTCAAATAATATAAAAATAAACAAGCATAACAATTAAGAATATTCGAAAGTTTTCTCGAAATTCAAAAACTGTAACTTGTATGCGCTTTCTGCCATCATTTGTTAAAAGTTTTTCAAAAACAACTTTAAGGCTCAAGCTTTTTTGAGACTTTTCACAGTTTTGAGATACGTGGACAGACAGACATCTTTGAATAAAAGATGCAAAAAGCGCCACAAAAAACCAACTAATGTAAGTTTATATGATGGGAAATGGTCGATTAGAAAGAAATCAGAAAATTTTTGCTAGAGATGCAAGAAAATTATTATGACGTGCAGTGACTATTATAGTTAATCACGCTGGTTAGAACATGTTCTTCGTACTGAGTAAAAAAGGACTGCATGAGTTTTTATCAGTAAAAGTAAGTCATTTTATACGTGGCGAAATTAATTCGCTCATATCTCATGGCTCAAAAGACTTAGGAAAATGTCGACGGCCCATTCAACTCCACAAGAGCTCAGCTTTCAAATGGTACATAGCATGCTGCGGCTTTCTGTCTTTTGGCTCTAAAAAACACTTGCTCCGGTAACCCATAAGAACTAATACACTAAGAGGGGCGGGTGGAGCAAGTCAATAGTAAATACCTCCATCCCATTTCCAACGGAAAGATTTTTCGCCAGACAATCTACATACCATTCGAAAGTTTAGGAAAAGGAGATTCGAAATAGACCGTCGACTTCTTCTCAGCCCCCCTCAGCCGAAAGATAAGCCGCATTTTATCTAAAATTGAGTACATTTTTAACAGCAGATTTTTGCCCAACAAAGATCTAGTTAGCGCTGCTCATCTATCTATTTTATAAAGCAAGTCTTCGTTAACAAACAAAAACGTGCAGTTTCTCGTCTCTTTCATATTTTTTGCGACAAGCAGAACGTGAGCATTGGATGGATGAATCCCCTCATATTCATGGCTCAGAAGACTTAGGAAAAAGTCGACGGTCTAGATTGATTCTCCACGACCTCAGCTCTCAAATGGTTAGCTTGTTGGAGCATTTTGCTCCCTGGCTTCAAAAACCCCCGTTATCCTTCTAGGAACTGGGTAGCCATGACCCCCTTCACCTGGAGAGGGCCTCCCCCTAGCAAAACTATGCTCCTAAGGCAGAATACCTTTTAGATTCTAGTTTTCAACGTCGCCCAAATATGAATCCAGCGAGTGTTTGTTAATTATTACGTAAAGCTTACTTTGCTTTATCGCATAGCGTCTTTCACTTTTGAGCTGATCAGTCGGGAAGCATGAAAAAAGCTTCTGCCTCTTTATGTGCCTAAGACCTTTCGAGGATCTGAGTTGTATTTACGGGAATGTAGCAAATTCTTTCATTGTGCAGCCATAGCTCTTACATCTTTGTTCCTCCTCTTAGAGGCAGCGTCCAGATTGCCTCCAGTACCGCGGACAGCGGACGACTTTCTCTGTTTCCGCACGGGGGAGATGGGTCCAAAGGCAATAGCATGCAACTCGATGCAATCCACCAAATACGGTAGTGGAGAAGATTATGTCGGCCGTGATATACCATTTGCGCCTCTACTTGGGTGGTACCAACGTTGAGCCTTCGGAAATCAAATTGACTTGCCATACCCATTCACAGATTTGCCTGGACACTGTTGTCATTAACATCGTCTTAAGCTTTGTAATATAAATTGTATGTTCCTTTATAGAGCGACTTGTTGCTTTCCA